GCTAGACAGAATCCCATTGGTGATTTGCACTTGCATAAAGGAAATCATGTAGGTCTTGGTGGCAAATGACAGTTCATTAATGAGGAGCTAGCTGTATTTCTTGGTGTGTTTTCAGAAATGCAACCTGGTCTGTGTTAATTACTGGCAATTTTGCCAGTAAGGTATATGTGATTTCTGTTATGCAAGTGTAAGTTGCAAATAGAATTCAGGCCACTAATTTATAGAATTAATTTTTCTTAGGCTGGTAAAACTGCTAAAGGTGAAATATGAGATTGAAGCACTAAATACAGAGAAAAGATGATGATGGAAAAGTGGATCTAGAAGAAGTTGTAAAAAATGAAGAGAAAGAACGAATGTATGAAGAGAAGGAAGATAATATTATTTAGAAAGATGGAAGCACTCACTAACCAAAAACTTAAAGTAGGGAAAACAATTTATTTTAGCTTATTGGGTATAATTCTTGCAGTACATCAAATTATGTGCATTTTCCTATTTTTCAGGCCAGTGTTCAAAAAGCAAAGTGTGAAACAAAGGGAAGAAGGGCTTGACAGACACAATTAAGGTCCATCTAGTTGAAATCGTTCTCAAATGTGTAACGGTTGGGTTAGATACTGCTCACAGATGCATCTTGGGGACCTCTGATGTTCATCAGTAGTTCTATGGAAACAATATGCTTTGTCCATGGCTACTCTTAAAACACTGTGGTAGAACCCAACAGAAAAATAATTTAACTGTTTCTGACCAAAAGTCATTCTGTATATTAGAACCTGTGAGCCTTTATAGTTTCCATTAATATTTATTTATTTGTTTGTTTATCCATTCATTTGTTCACATGGACTTCTGAAATTTAAACTGATTATGTCATTCATCTCATGACTACATGAATTTGTTTGGAAGAAAAATAGGGATATGTTGATAGGTGCCGTTTGTTGGATTTCAGCTCTCAGAATTAACCAGGTGTTCTCCCAGCCAGAAGTTTGAGGGCCTTAATGAAAAAATCACAGTTCTCACAGGAGTTTTCAGTTACACACAAGTGTGGAATGAAGGATCTGTGAACCATTATGTACAATTGAAGAAGAAATGGAAATGGATGAAAGTGGCTAGACTCCAAGCATGCCACAAGGGATTAGGAATTTAGTGGTGGTGTTTTCTTGAGAGTTACCCTGTACAGAACCTAATGGGCAGAGTGACTGCTAGTCTCCTAATCCCTTGAGTTCCTACATAATTTATGCCTCTCACCCATTTCCATGTCTTCTCTACAGGAACAAAATGGCTGACACAGCCTTCATCGCCTACGTGTGCATAATTGAAAACTCTTTGAGGACTTTAATATCTTGGTTGAAGCCCTTACAATTTTGGCTGGTGGAATTCCTGGTGAATTCTGGGGACTGAAGACCAAGATAAAAGAAAGTTCCATGCCAGCTTTCCATATCTAATGCTCAGGTGATACTTTATGTATACACAGGTGTACTAAATTTATAAATTTAAAAATGAATAACAAAGTAACTCTGTCAACTTTTGAAATGTATCTAATATGGAGCATATAGGGACAAGAAGTTTCCTCTTACATATTGGAGGGAGAACATACAGTGATGCCTCTGCTTACGAATGTCCCGACATACGACTATTTCAAGTTACGACCAGCTCCGGCCACAAAATTTTGCTTCAACTTGCGACTGGAGCTTCCACTTACTAACAGAAAAAGGCAGGGGAAAAAGGCGAGAATTTCAAATTTCTAACTGTAGGTGGCGATGAGGCTGCTTCTTTGTAGCTCTTTCACCTGGATGGTTAGAGTGAGTGCGGTCAGAGGAGGCTGGGGACTGCCTGGCTTCTGCTTCTGAGTGAGCTTGTGTGTGTTTGCAGGGAGGCTTGCCTCATAAGGCAAGGTGCTGTTTTCTGCTTTTTAAAAACTGTTCTAGGTGTTTTTGCAGCATGGTTTTGGGCTGGAGAGGGTTATGTTTCTGTGCTGTGATGGGTCTTGGTTTTTTTTATCCCCCCCCCATTTCTGATGGGTCTTGGGGGATTTGGTTGCTTTTTGGATTCCCCCCCCATTTCCAATGGGTCATGGGGGATTTCCTTGCTTTTTGGATTCCCCCCCATTTCCGATGGTTCTTGGGGAGATTGTTAGCTCGTTAGTCCCCCCCCCCAATTTCTGATCTTGCATTATCTACCTGATGGCTTTTTGCTTTGACTTCTTTGCATTTGCAATGGGTCTTGCACGGTCTATTACTCTCCCCCCCCCTTTTTGGCTGGAAGGGATTAATCATTTTTCCAACTGGTCTTGCAGTGATTTTTTTGTGATTTTTTTCTTCAGCCAGAATGGATTAATTGCATTTCAATGCATTCCTATGGGAAATGGTGCTTCAAGTTATGACCATTTTGAGTTACGACCATCTTCATGAATGAATTAAGTTCGTAAGTTGAGGCACCACTGTACAGGAAATTTATAGTGTTTGCCAAAGACAGGAGCTTAGGCCTCCTTTGAAAGCCAATTAAAAACATGGTTGTACATTCAAGCCTTCCCTCCTGTCAGTACTTGATTTTATTTTCTCACTCTCTTTATTTATTTCCTCCTCATTTTGTATTGTAATTTCCTATTGGATGTTTTATGTACTATTCTTGATTTTAATGCTTATGTTATGTTGTAAGCCACCTAGAGTGGTCGTGTAGACCAGATGGGCGGGGTATGTATGTATAAATAAATAAACAAACAAACAAACAAACAAACAAACACAAATAAATAAATAAAATTCTATTGCTTAGGTTGCAGAATATACTTTCTTTTTTTCCTCTTGTTTGTGGCCTTTCTATTATAGTTATTGCTGTCAAGGTGGAACTGAATTATAGCGACCTTAATAGTCAGATGAGATTTAAGGAAGGGTTTTGACAGTTTCATTCCCCCAGTTGAGTTTCCATGGCAAGTGACGATTGAAACTCTAGTCTCCAGAGTTGTAGTCTGTCATTCTGCCCACTACACCACACTAGATACCACCTTTCCAAATCCTACATTTCTTTGTTGTTCCTTATGACTAGGTTTCAATTCCTTGCTTGGAAGAAGTTCTTTGGAGGAATTGGAAGGCAACCAGACCATATGGATCCAACAATTAAGTGTACACTTGAATTAAGTGTATACCTGAAGCTGGAGGAGCTGTAGAATGTCAGGTAGTGGCTATTTGGGATAGAAAGAAGTGGAACTAGCCTGTTTGAGGAATATGGGAATGCACAACATAAATTTAAGTTATCTTCTTCATGCTTCCCTCCTCAACATAGCCTTGATCCTGAATCCCCTGCCATTACCACCATTTTGTACAATTGTGAAAAGTTTCAAGAGTGAGCAAAGAAAGCTGGGGTAAAAAAGTGTGAGGGTCCCAAACAGAGCTCCAAATTGAATATAGTAGGATCCCCGTATCCGTGGGGAATTGGTTCTAAATCCCCACCACCATGGATGCTGAAAACCATGGCTATACATAGCATGGTAAATGAAAAAAAAAATCCAGGAAAAAAATATTTTCACGTGTATTACCAGAAACAGCCACTACAGACTATGCTATGTGTTTTTCAACAATGAGAATACATAGTGTGGTCTCTGACCCCCTCTAGTGGCCAGTTCTGGAAAATACTTATTTCTATATTTTTCTTTTAATATTTTCTTTTTTTATAATCCATTTTCCATTGGGTAAGGAAAGCTAATAGGGAAGAGGATTTGGAACAGGCTACTGGGGTAAATAAAATATATTTTTTATTCTTTTAGTATTTTCAGATTCCAGATAAGAAATTTGCAGATACTAATCCCATGGATATGGAAGTTCTAATGTAGCAAAAAAAGCTAGCATCAGATTATGGATTTCAGCTTGTTTAGAAGTTTATCAGAGTCAATTTTAATATGCAACAATTAAATCAAATGAATGTTATGCTAAACATTTAGGGACATTCTCTGGTTTCATAGGCAGTGATGTATTTATAGGGCACAGGGTTTTTTCCCTTGTGCTTGTTTCAGCTCATGCACGTAGTACTGAACTGTGATTTAGTGTTATATATGAACCATCATGCTTAGAATATTCAAGGTCCATGTGGTTATTTTCAAATTTGAGTTAGTTGAAACAATAAAAGAAGCAATAGTCAAGAAAAAGAGTGTTAAAATATTTTTGGAGGCATGAACATGATGTTGAGAATAGGAGTTGGAAAATTATGGCTGAAATCCTGTTACTTGGATTTGTGTCACATTAGGCTGAAGAATCAGCTATGATGATGATTGGAGGAGGAAAATCTAATTCCTCTCTGAAGATCCCAAGGTTCCCATGGGATTTCTGTTGCAGCTAAAGTTGTTTTCAGTTTCTTAATATTGCTGCCATCAATAAAATAAATTGAATTTTTTTCAGCTTTCTCTCCAGTAATACTGGTACTTCATAAGTTTGTCTACAAACTGTTGCCACAGAACAAGTGCTGAATCTGTTCCTGTTACTTGGAATGTTTCTTTGATAGGGATAATTAAGTTTGACAGCGTAAAACCTATGTAGCTTAGTGAATATTTTTTGGGAGGGGAGTGAGCCAGATATTAAATATGGCTGTGGATTACTTAAGATTCGCCTTTTCTTATGTTTCTTAAACTGCTTTTCTTATATGAAAGCACTTCAGTTTATTTGGATGTGCAAGATTAAAAATACAATCTGTTTCTAAATAATTCTTGTACAGATGTTGTTGTAAAAGAAACATTTCTCTATTTCATCATATAGAAAATCATCTGCACTGAATATGACACAATACTCCAGAATTCTCCACTGTTTCTTGGTTATGGGGAGAGGAAATGTTCAGATCCTGCCCATATTGAGAAAGGGGGAATCAGTAGAAGGCAAGAGAAAAATTGATAGAGGATGGGTGCAAATAGTGAACATTTAATGGTCATTTTCTTTGAAATATACAGTTCATAAGTAGTGGAATACAGTAGAGGAACATTTCATTGTGTAAGAAATCAAAATTATTTTTCTTTTCTTTCTTTACAGGTGTACATTTTGAAAACAACTTGGACAGTCTATCATCGCTTTAGAACATAGAATGTCTTTTTGACTGGGTCTCTCTGGTGTCTATGAATCTGTTTCCTGGATATACTTTCTATGTTTCATTGGAGCAGGGCTGTTGTCCATACAGAAGTTGGCTTGCCTGTTTCAGTAGTTTAAATAGCACAGATTCTGCCAGCAATGAGTTCTCAAAGCCATCCAGGTAAAGTAAAAATTCTTCTCTTATAGCAGGAACAGGTATTGTGGCCAAGGAAGCCTTAGTTGATTGAACTAAAGGGCAACATGTAAAATACATAATGTGTTAGATAACCTATGTTGTCTCAGTCTCAGTTATGTGCAGTATACTGTATGACATCCAGCTGGAGTTATAAACAGGCAACAGTAGCCGGGAACACAATGCCATACTAGAATAAAGACTTGATATGAGAGAAGTACTGTGATTGGAAAAGATAGATGGGAAGATGTGATAAATTATGGATACTTTTGTGGTAGCGTGGATAAAAGCTGGAGGAAGGCAGTAAAGTGAAGTAATGGGTGTTTTCAGCCCATGTTTAAATTGCTGAGACCCTCCTTACAAACTTGGGAGTAGGATTTGTCAGGGGTCTCTTGCAGCTAACAGTTTATAACAATGCCTAGCAAGCACGGACCTAGTAAACAAGCTAAAACTAAGGGAGCCACTCCTTTGAAACTCTTTACAGAGCTTGGGTAGGCTTTCCCTTTCTTAAAAGGAAGTCTTAATCAATCGACTTGCAGATACAGTTGCTCCATGGGGGGGGTTGGGCATTGAGTGTGCCTTGCATCAAGTTTATATACCCTGCTCTGCACTAACATCATCACTCCCCCACCCCACTGTTTCTGTATGCCAGCTAACTTGAGTTTGTTTGAGATGTTCTTCTACCTCTGCATCTCTTGCTTGGGTGTGGGATTAGGGTTACCAATTGTACTTCCTCTAATTTTGCTTTGTCATGTTTCTTTGAACATTATTGCTTTTGTGGCTGATTTTCTACACGGAAAATCATGTATCTGCTTCTATCACTTGAAAGCTCCATTTGGCTGTCAGTATTGCACAATCTGTTCCTCAGCTTGGAGCTCTTTGTAACGTGTCAAGTGGCCATGTATGTATTTTAGTAAATGGGAACTACAATTCTGCTCTGTAAGTCCTTTGAGATAATTCTTCAGACACTGGCTTGGAAGTTGTGGTGTGCTGGCAGCCAGTGTTTGATTTTACTTAGTCTTTTGTTTTCTTTTTTTGTAAAACCGTTTTTCAGCAATGGATGTTCTGTGCTTTAATTCACACATGCACATGTCTACCTGAAATACATCTTTGTGGAGACAGTTGCTTTTGTTTTCAAGCAAGTTCCTGCACACTTTGTCATGCGATGATGTGCCTAAAACAGCTTCCTTTTGGCGATACTAAAATTGAACATGGGATATGTTGGGAAGTGTATATAAATACTGTAATTAATTGCTTTAGATGTAGAATCTAAAATATGGCATTCCTAATAAGGTTTTGAAGGTATGTGAGAAGTTCAAGGATTGGTTTACTGTTGCTGCTGCCCCATTAGTGAGTTTCCATGGAAAAGTGAGAATTTGAACCCAAGTGTCCAGAGTCTTAATCTGATACTCTTATTTGCTGCCCCACACTAACTCCCTGAATGATCAATAGTTCTTAGTTATTCTCTTTTAACTTGAAAGCAGTTTAAATCACAGATTAAATGATCCTCCCGATATACAGTGGTGCCTTGTATAACGAGTGCCCCGTTTAATGACGAATCCGCATAGCAATGCGGGTTTTGCGATTGCAAAAGCGATCGCATTGCGATATTTCCTATGGGCCCCATTTCCCCATAGGCCTCCCTGGGCAGCGCAGGCTTCAAAGCAACCTCCAGGGAGGCGTCCACCACAGGCGCTCAGAGGCCAGTGCTGCCCAGCTGGGGGGAGAAGGTTCAGAGCGCC